GGGGGGACACTCTGGCAGCTCCCTGAGGCAGCACAGCCAGCACACACCTTCCCAACAAGCGGAGCACACAGTCCTCAAGAGCCACACACTCCACTTTGCCTGCCATCCGGCTCCTCAAAAAGGTCAAATATAAATCATTCAGCCGTGCGCATCTCTCGGAGCTGTGCAGGGAGGTGGAGAGAGCAGAAAACCACAGACCGTTTGTCCACCCTAATAGGGCCAAGTAACAATCAGCAGAGAGAAGGTGGAAGGCAGGCAGGACACCTGCCCCATAGGCGGTGGAACAAGAGTCAGCTGGAAAAGGGAAACACCAAGTTACACTAAATTGCTCTTGGAAGAAATTCTGTAATTTTCAGGGAGACTATATCTGGGGAGAGCACCTCTATAGCGTCCTTGCCATAGAACAAGGCTGCTTAGCCTCACTGGAAGGTAAATTCAGGCTTCCTTTCTTGTAACCCAAATAACGGCTGATAAAGTCAGTGAGGAGGGAGTTTAGGAGGAAGAAGGCCTGGGCTGCACTCCATCAGGCAAGACAGAAATTTCAAAGGGGCCCCAGCATCCAGGCTGAGAGGGGAGGCTGAACAGGGGCAGGGCGGGGGGAGGCAGAGGGATTCAGGGGACAGTGAGGAGCTGTGTGCCAGATGGAGGCTGCAGGCCAGGAAGGGGCAGGTTCTTACGCGGTGCCTTGTACGTGAGGCAGGCCAGCCAGGCATTGAAGGCACAGATATGAAGGCTTTTAGAAAGGTGGCTCCTGGGCAGCGCCTGTGGCTCAACGGAGTAGGGCGCTGGCCCCATATGCCAGAGGTGGCGGGTTCAAACCCAGCCCCAACCAAAAAAAAAATACTGCAAAGATAGGTGGCTTTAGCCGCAAGGCAGATAACGAGTCCTGGAGGACAGCGTGAGGCCAGGGCAGCTCCTGCTCTGTCCCAGAGCTAGTTAGTTCCCCAAGGTACAGGGAACAGGTGAGGGAGAAGGCTCAGAGCAATAGGGATCTCTGGGCCACCAGAAAGGTGGTGGCACTTTAACTTGGTTACCAAGTGGGGAAATGGTGAGCACATGAGGAATTCAGTTAGGAAACAGGAAAACCACAGCTCCCACCTGGGTCTGTTATCCTGATAAGATGTGTGAATCATTCAACCTCAACCATCTCACCTGTCATGTAAGGAAAACAATCTCATAGGAGGAACATTCATTGAGCATGTGAATGTGTTATGCCAAGATACAAAAATGAGGAAGACATACATGGGCCTTCTCTTCAACTCTAGAAGGAGATAAAGGAAACTAATAATAAAACAAGATGGTTAAGTAGCATAAGATAGGCTTTTAAAATAACCTATTTTTTTTCACCCCCAGTTGAGTGCCATGATGTTATAGCTCAAAGTAACCTCAAACTCTTGGGCTGAAGCGATTCTCTTGCCTCAGCCTCCCAGGTAGCTGGGACTACAGACACCCGCCACATGCCCCGCTATTACTAGAGACAAGGTCTCACTCTGGCTTAGGCTGGTTTTGAACCTGTGAGCTCAGGCAATCCACCCACCTCAGCCTCCCAGGGTGCTAGGATTACAGGTGTGAGCCACCACGCCCAGCTAAAATAACTTACTTTTAATCACAAAAGTAATAGAGGCTTACTGCAAAAAAAAAAAAAAAAAGACCCTGGATAATAGAGTAAATTAAAAAGACACAAAGAAGTTTAGGAAAATGAAAAGATGATGGGGCAGTTTATTACAAAAACATTTAAGCGAGATAAACATGAGCTTTTTTGAAAGTATGGAGCATTCAAAATTCTCACTGACTCATTCCTACCAGAGCTCTGGTCAGTGTATACAATTCCAACCCCTTCACATTGTCCACTCAAGGGGAGAGGAGGACCACCCATAATAAATGTCTTCAGTAAATTAATATTTACTTCCAAGAATGAAGTAAACAAATTACTTGTAGTTTGATAAATAACACGATTAGTGTCTGAAAGGCCAATAAAGCACCTTGTTGGTTATGTTTGTTTACCGAGCTATCAGCAAAGCAGGTAACCACTGCCCACATTCATTAGAACCTGGGAGCTTACATGACTGTGAGAATTTCACTATAACAACAGTCACCAAATCACAGGGCTTCAGGAAGAACCGAGGGTGTTGTTAAAGATCTGTGATAAACAGGATTGAACAATTGATAAATATCAAGCTATTGAAAAAGTGGGTAAAGGCTATGAAGATAATTTTTGAGATACTTAATGGATAAAATATAAAAATAGGTTCAATTTCACTAATAACCAAAAAAATGCATAGAAAGAAGATCTAAATGTCTAAAAAGAACGAATTAAATAGATGTGGTACAATCATATAATAATTAATATGCTATTAAGATTCTATTCTAGGCCAAGCAAGGTGGCTCATGTCTATAATCCCAGCACTTAGGGAGGCCAAGGTGGGAGGATTGCTTGAGTCCTGGGGTTCAAGATCAGTCTAGGCAACATGGCAACATCCCCATCTCTACAAAACAATGAAAAACAATAGGCCAGACGTGGTGGCACACACCTGCAGTCCTAGCTACTTGGGAGGCTGAGGCAGCAGCATCACTTGAAGCCAGGAGTTAGAGGCTACAGTGAGCTGTAACTGCCCCACTGTACACTGCAGCCTGGGAGACAGAGCAAGACTCTATCTCTAAAAACATAAATAAAATTCTATTCTGAGACTGAAGCATAGGGGAAAAAAGTCCAAATATAATCAAAAAGAAAAAAATTGGATATAAAACACTGCAGATTCAATTTTGTAAAAAAACATTAAAAATAAAAACGTATGGCAGGTTGTTAACAATACAGTGTTGTGTTAAAACTGGAAATGATGACTTTTTCTTTGATTTTATCTTTTTTTTTTTATTGAATGGTAACTATGTACATTAATGCACTTCTGGGGTACAGTGTGGGGTTTTCACATGCAATCCTTTCGTTTTATCTTTTCAAACTTTTCTACAGTAGTAGTTAGTAAATCTTCAGTTGGAAGAATTTTAAGAATAAACATGAGCGGATGGTTCTAAACTTCACAAGGGCAGAGGCCCCAGCCTGTGTTTGTTTACCTAACACTGGGCTTGGCACACACAGCGTGAGCTCTATAAATATTTGTGGAATAGATCAATGAGTGAATAAATGAAGGACAGATACGCTCATTTTTAAAATTCTGATA